TTTGTTGTTCTACTTACACATTCATTGGTTGATTCTAGTATGCGCCCTAACCCGGGACCGATCTGGCAACTTTGGCCTATCAGGACAACACTCTAACCAACTGATCTACCCGACCAGGGCTCTACTCAATCTTTAAGGCTCAGTTAAAAAGTTGAATACTCCCTACAGCCCTCTGTACTTCACAGTGGGTGTGTGAATCAACCCTTCCTCTGTACACTCTTAGCTTATATGTTTATCACAGTATTTTATTTCCTTCTGGTTTATATTGTGATTCTTCCAAACAGGTTGTAGGGTCCTTGAAAATGAGAAGGATGTTATGTTTATCTTTATTTCTCCCATAACATACTTAGGACAGGGGACACTCAGGTGTTCAATGAATGTAAGAACCAGATGCTGTCTTCTCTTTTTACTGCCTGTGCAAGTGCTTTCTTAAATGCCTACTGTTGCCTCAAACTCAAACCTGCAAAAGCAAGCTCTCCTCTAAACTGCCCCCTTTCCATTTTGCTGTTTTTGACACTATCCTATTCCCTAATCCCATTTTCTGAGAATAAAAATCTTATCATTGTATTTGACTAGTCTGTGTCCTTCACTATCTGGGATCCAAATGATCAGGCTCCTCCAATTCTTTCTGTGAAATAGTTCTTGGAATCACCTTTTTCCCCAATCCCTTTATTCCATTCCTAGGAGTAACAATCATTAGTGTAATAACAATTATTTTTAAACAATTACTATTTATTTAGCATTTAAATTCCGGGCTACTTTGTATACATTATACCATTTGAGCTTTAAAACACCCCTGTGAAGAGNTCAGGCTCCTCCAATTCTTTCTGTGAAATAGTTCTTGGAATCACCTTTTTTCCCAATCCCTTTATTCCATTCCTAGGAGTAACAATCATTAGTATAATAACAATTATTTTTAAACAATTACTACTATTTATTTAGCATTTAAATTCTGGGCTACTTTGTATACATTATGCCATTTGAGCTTTAAAACACCCCTGTGAAGAGGTATTCCCATCCTTACAAGAGAAAAACAGGACACAGCTTAAATACCCTGCCCAAGTTAGTTAAATGGCAGAGTGGGGATCAAACCCAGATCTGAAGCCGAAGCCCTTAAATGAGTTGGGCTCTTTCAAGTTGTGTAAAACAAAAAACGGGAATTTTAGAAGAGTATTATGAAGATGCACAGGAAGTAAAGAAGCACAGGAGACTTTCATGGTTGCCTACTGTCTCCTTCAAAAGCAGAATACACCAAACTCTAGTGATCCAATTTTGTTGAGCTTCTTTGACATGATTTTTTGAGGCCTAAAGCTTCTCACCTTGCTTCTATTGCTCTTGTTAAAACTGACTGAATTCTCTCTTCTCTTCCTCTATTTCTCATCTTCTATTTCTTCATGACTTCTGCTCCTTAGGTATTTGGCTCTCTTTTACTCCTCTCTCACTACTGTAAACACAAATGCTTTACTTTGGTTAAGGCCATCTCCTCACTGTTCCACAACTTTATGTTACTACTTTGAACATAAATATTTTCTTCCTTTCTCTCCGTCAAAAGCCTGTATTTCAAGGCACCTTCACTACTTCTTCCCACAGTTCCAATGCATTCTTTAGTGATTACTGTGTGATATGTCTTCTTGCCGACTCAGCATGAACCCATAAAATGAACAAGAAACCTTTTGAGATTTGGGCATTATTTGTTCTTGCAATGTAATCCAGACTATCTTGACTGCTATATTGACTTTAGGGAAGTTACTTAGCTTCTCCCAGCTTCCCTTTTCTTATCTGTAAAATGGAGATTAAAACAGTATCTATCAAATAAGGGTGCTCTGAGGATTAAATGAGATAACACTTAAGTACTTAAGTAAAAGTATTTATCACAGTGCTAATCACAAAAGAAGTATATAATGTTATTTTTTAAGATTTCTATTATCACCAACTAGCAGTTGGTGTGCCAGTAATGACAAATGAGCACAAAAGATAGTATTATTTGCTTTTTTTAATGTTAAGCTTCAAATTACAAATGTTATACATTATTGTAAATTTTGCCAAAAACCTGGGCATTTCTAGTTTGAAGAAAAATTTAAAATACATATATTTTTAATAAGTTGTTTTTTTAAATTGATTTCAGAAAGAGGAAGGGAGAGGGAGTGAGAGATAAAACATCAGTGATGACAGTGTGTTATTGATGGGCTGCCTCATGCATGCCCCCTACTGGGGATGGAGCCCACAACCAGGGTATGTGCCCTGACCGGAAATCTAAAGTGATCTGGTTCACCGGTGGTTGAGCCACGCTGGCTGGGCTAAAATACTGTTTTATCAAAAAATTTTTGGTTTGGTTAAACTTAGTAGCATTGAAGAACGAGCGTCTGCACTTTGGAAATTAAAGAACCCGAGAGTGTACTTGAGAAAATGCTAAATGAAAAAAAAACCAGGGTAACCAGGTCTCCTGGAGGTGCCAAATCTAGGGTCTTTTTATTTTTAAACATGTTCTTATTTACTTCAGAGAGAAAGGAAGGGAGAGAAAAACATCAATGATAAGAGAGAATCATCGATTGGCTGCCTTCTGCATGGCATGTGCCCAGACTGGGAATTGAACCGTGACCTCCAGGTTCATGGGTCCATGCTCAACTGCTGAGCCACACCAGCTGGGCTAGGGTCTTAAAATGGTTTAAGAAAACACTTCAGACAAGCCAGTTGCTGTCCAATGTATCAGGAACAATGTATCTAATTAAAGTGCCAAAACTGATTTAAATGGTACCTGGTTTACTTTTTAGAAATTGCAACACCCCACTATTTATAACATAGACTCTTCCTGCAAATGACAGTGACAAACTTAATTTTAAA